ATTATCTAAACATGTTATAATAGTGATTTTGCCTAATAAATAACAATGAGAGTTATGTGAATACTTACTTTTAATGCAATTTGCATGTGTTATACAATAAATTTTTGAGAGAACAGGAATCAATAATGTTTCAGAAATCGATAGTCTGTATGAGTTTCTCATGCTATTAACATATTCCCTAATTGTAGCTAACACCTTATTTTTCTCTTCAACGCTTTCAGCTTTAACATAATATAATATGTCAAACCAGTTCTCCGCTGGAAAGTATAGTTAAAATTCCCATTGAGGATATTCCACAGAAACTATTTCTACTCTATACGATTTCTTAAACAAGATATTCTCTTTGTTGTCAATGAAATCTATATATTTCTTGCCTAGAGACGCTAATGTCTTAGATACAAAATTAGGAGTATCTTTTATATTTTCAATAGTACTAATTTTGATTATTAATTTTATATCTCAAGAAAACTCTTTTTCGATAGTACACTTTGTTGTCATTTTTATAGACAAAAAATATTAAAATATTTCAATTTGTTATGGAGATTTAGTTTCTTATACATATTTATAATAATGATTATCATTATACTACGTATGTAAAAAGTCTATACATATTATTCTGCATCTTTCATTCTAGCCAAATCAAAACTGAGATAGGAAGAAAAAAAGAGAAGCATTTTACTTCACGATTGTATAATATATTATCTGACTCAGTCATAGCACATTGGCCAACTTTTATCATCATCAAAGGATTCTGAGAAAACTTCGATAAATAAAATCAAAATAGGAAAGTTAGTTTTGCGAATAGTAGCAGTAGTAGTAGTAATATAAACAATGATGATGAAGTAAATGGATAGCAGGAAGGAACTCTCATTTTATGGGTTAAAGCTTGAGTGATTTCTCCCTTGAAACATCTCTTTTTCGCCTGCTTCTTTATTATGCAAAAATATAATAACTGTAAATTTTAAACATGTGTGCATGTTTTCGAGTGAGATCTGGTATGATCATAAAAATAAATTTTTATTAATACAGTTAAAAAAATAAATACAATATTTTAGGATGCATCCCAGTCCCTCAAAATCTTCCATTATACAGGTGGTAGAAATACGAGGTAAAATAAATACAAAGGCTTGGGACTTTGCCTGTGATATATGAACAGAATATGAAATTACTATCCTAAGATCTATCTACTACATCTGACTCTTCCACAAGATTACACAATGACCTATGCTTTTTTATTACCCTCTCTTCACTTCGAGAATCTGAATCTAACTTCTATGCTTCTTTCAACAACCAAACAATGTGACTGAGAACTTCTCTAACTATGTTTTTCATATTTACATTATTATATATAATGACCACTGATTCTAATAGTTTAAAGTTTAGCTTACCTTGATCATCCATCGTACACTTCATGAAATAGAATTTTTCAGCATCAGTAACTATCTCAAAAACTCTCCCAAATGATGATTAATCCTCTTCTATTTCATTAGTCTTACGCTATTAACGTTACTCTCCGTCAAATAAGTTAACTATGATTTGAAGTCAGGGAGACAGTAGCTATGACTTAAATCCAATCAACTTGACACGCTGT